TGATGTCAAAAAGTGTTAGCAAGAACAAATTTCAGGATCTTGAGCAGACACTGACATCGGCAGGATCATCTCTACTCACAGTGATGTGACCCTTCCATTTTCATCACACAAAATACCATCCCATTTCATGCCGCAAGGACTGTTGGACTTTCCCCAACTAGCAGGCACATTTTTCCATCTCTTCATCAAGGATCTGAGAGCAGCCTCTGCAAGAGAGAGAAGGGTGATAACAACTTGTCAATGAAGTTTTGGACATTCGATTTAATGATCTCATTAATATATTTCAATAATAAGAATTAAAAAAAAGATGGAACCATCAAATGGTTTTATCTTCTATCATCCAGAAACTGGAAGAATCACATCAAACAAGGGTGAGCATATGTATTGATGCAGAGTTTCATAATACAAAGAACACAAAACAATTAAGAGGAGAAATTATTAACTGACTGAATAAATAACACCAAGAACATTTTCAGGAAAGGAGCAGGGAAGAAACCAATTTTGCATTGTTTTGTTGCCATTTCCACAAGCGTCTCATCCAAACAAATTACAAAATCCACCCAAATAGTTTAATCAGCAAAACGGAGGTATTTATGATTTCCATTACTTAGTTCAACTGGAAACTAATAAAGTCGCACAACCAAAACTCAACTCCGAATCCGACAAAGTACGAACTAGACAACCAAAAAACTATTATTTAGAGAAAGCTTTTGCTACCAATAAACAGTACTTGGACATATAATTACATAAAAGAACAGGCAAGACCCCATCAAAGTATCTCTAATCTTTGGTTCGCACACCCAAAATTCAATGAAATACACAAAAACAAACAAAAAAGAACTTACCATCTTGCTGGTTGGTGTTGGCGGAGGCGGTTGTTGATCCGGCAGCGCACAGAAGCAGCAGCAACAAGAGTTGCCCCTTGCACATCTCCTCCCTCCCCGGGCCAGAACTGCAGGAGAGAGCCCTTATCCTGCTCCGCTCCGATCTTTGGATGCGTTCTCCTTCCCAAACCTCTCGACCTCGCAAAAAAAAAAGGCTCTGCAGCAAGCAGGGAAGAAGTCTCCGAGATGGGAGGAGGAAGAAGCTGAGAAGCGAAGCACGCCGCCGATGCAGAAGCGGTCGTGCCTGAAATAAGAGTAGTTTCCTTCCTGAACTTTTGTTCTTGTATAGTCGGTCCAAGCAGGTGGTGTTCGGTTCTAGCGATTTGCACGTGGGTTCGGATATTAATAAAAAATAAATTACATAATCCGTCACGACATGTAGCATGTTTGTTTGGCTGTGGCTTATCGTAAACGATCGTAAATTTCCAGCTGGAACAGTATTTTTCTCTCACACAAACCAGCCAGCAGTACTTCTTCACGAACCAGCAACGAAACGAACCAGCCAACCGAACAGGTCGTTGATTTTTTTAAATCTAATTAATCCGTCATTAGCACATGTTTACTGTAGCAAAATATTGTCAAATCATGATCTAATTAGACTTAAAAAATTCGTCTCGTAAATTAGTCACAAACTGTATAATTAGTCTATATTTAATACTCTACGCATGTATCAAGCATTCGATACGACAACGATTAAAATTCAGGAGGTCAAGCAAACACCACCTAACTTTTGTTCTTGTATGTCTACTCGGTCCAAGTGACTGACATTTTCATAAGCGTGCCGTTGTGCCGTTTACGCTTGCTGTCGGGTGCTGTTGGCTTGGCTTCGAGGTTGTTGAGTTTGACAAATTTAAAACTCGTTTGATTCCTAACCACAACTTATTATGCCATGGGTTAGTTATGTTATACTTTTTTTTGTTTTTTAGCAAATTGTTTGGTTCACTGTCACAAACTATAATATGCTACACTTTTATATCACCCTATTATACTCGTAGTAGATCGTGTTAAACTTTATCACAAGTGTGGTTTTGACTTTTTCTTCACACCATCTATGACAACAATAATTTGCCAAAGATTAGATGTGGCAAATTATAACTATAACGATAATAATTTGCCAAAAGTTAAATGTGGTAAACTATGACGCTAACTAAGGGGGTGTTTGGCTCCAAAGACTAAATTTTAGTCCATGTCCCATCGGATGTTTGGACCCAAGTTATTAGGACCGGACCGGAGATCGAACCGGCGAGGCTGTCGGTTCACTGGTTCACTGGTCCAACCGTTTAGAACCGGTTGAACCGCCGGTTCAATTGTTTTGGACCGTTGAATCAAACCGGCCAGAAATATAATGAACCGATGTATATATATATATATATATATGATATAATTAATAATTTATAGATGGTAAACAACACAAATTAATTGTTCAACCATAAGATTCATACATGCAAATTAATTCAAAACATCAAGTGTGAGAATAATCTCATTGTGATAATTCAAAACAGAATAAATAGAATAGTAATTGAAATATTCACAAATCACAAATGCAGAACAATCTCAAATGCTAAATATAAGTGCACCATTGCAAAGAGCTCGTTGTGGTAATCAAAATAGATATATTATTTGTCTAATTTGGAGCTAGTATGAAAAAGATATGAAAATTTGAAATTTATATATTATACATATTATTTAATATATGTATTATATATTTAATTTGGTGACGTCACAGCCACCAAAAATTCAAACGGGACACACATCCTCTCCAAAACGTGATGCGTGAACACCGAGGCAAGAACAACCAAAGGGGGCATGCGTGGACGCATCCACAAAGATGGCAGACATGGCGGCGCAGCAGCGCATGCGCCCGTCACCCGGGGACCAATCAGGAGCAGGTGCAATGACACACGCTGACTACCAGCATCGACTCGGCCGGTTCGCATGGAACCGCCCGGTTCGCCGGTTCCGTAAAAAACCAGCCGGTTTTTAGCGGTTCGATTGCACAGACGGTCTTTTAAGTGAACCGGACCGGTCTAAGCTCTGGTTCGGTCTTTTAGCGGTCCAACCGCCGGTCCGGTCCGGTCTAAATAACTAGGGTTTGGACACATGCATGGAGTATTAAATATAGACTAAAAAAATAACTAATTGCACAGATTGAGACTAATTTGCGAGACGATTTTTTTAAACCTAATTAGTCCATGATTTGACAAGGTGGCGCTACAGTAAATATGTACTAATGACGAATTAATTAGGCTTAATAAATTCGTCTCATAAATTAGTCTCCATCTATGTGTAATTAGTTTTATAATTAACTCATGTTTAATCCTTCTAATTAGCATCCGAACGTCCGATGTGACATGGACTAAAATTTAATCCGTGGAAACCAAACACCCCCTAAACAGATCCTTACTGCCGAAAAGCAAAAGTTCACAAGGTGCTTTATTTCATTTTTTTTCTCTCAAAGGAATATCAGTACTTTATTTCATTTTCATAACAAAATAGCAGACAGTCGTTGACTATTATTAGAAAATAAGATAAGCACCATGTTCGTTTGATCGCTTCTGTGACTTATAAGTCGGCTGATGCTGTTTTATTGTGAGAAAAAATACTATATCATAGCTGATAAACATGACTGATACGATCGAACCAACGTGGCGAAGATTACTCCTAAATGCCTAATGAAAGGCTCCCTCCTCCGCATGCCCCGCGGCAGTAACTATTGACGACGCGACAGTCACTGTTCACTCAAACATCACTGTTTACGCACGTCTGTTTCAAATACAGTTCAGCACTGTTTTGACCACCGCTTTACTGTTCCAACCTCCTTTTACTGCTAGCATTTAAAAATGCCAACGAGTACCTGATACCCGACGGGTATTTGATCCATTAGGGGACGGTGATGAGATGATATATATACCCGCGAAGATCTAAATGGGCAAAAATCCATCCCCAGTGGGGACGGTGGGTACGGGGACGTTTCCTGTATACCCGTCCCTATTATCCACCGGGGAACCCGCTATTGCTATTATATATGTGCATATGTATATGATATATGAAATAGGGCCAGTTAACATATGATGGCCCAAGCTCAGTTAGGCTCATATAAAAGGAATGCTAACCCTAATTTACACACAACTCCTCCATCCCTATGCCTTTCCATCGCCGCACTGCTCCTTGCACCGCCGCACGCATCCAGCGCTCGTAGTCTCGCCTCGCACTCTTGCCTCGCATGCCAACATCGTTCCCTCGCTCCTCTTTCTCTCGCTCCTGCTAGCCACCCGCCCAGCCACGGCCGCCCACTTTCTCTCGCTCCCGCCGGTCGTCCTCTCTCTGGCCTCCACCCCTTCTCCTAGAGCTGCCGCCGCCGGAGACATGAAAGGCTCCATCGGCGACCTCCATGGCAACCTCCGCGGCTCCCCCTCCTACTCCTGCGGCTCCATGACAACCAAGGTTGCTCTAAGCTGCCGTCGGCAGAGAACAAGCTGCTGCCGCCACTGCCAGAGAACACGCGAAGCTCCACGTTCACCTCGAAATCGTGGGTGTGTCCCGGGTACGGGGTACCCGGCGGGTATATTTTCCCCGGTCGGGGATGGGGACGGGGCGAAATCTATCCACGAGAGCGGCCACGGGGACGGGGAGCAGGACAATTTTGTTGTGCCGGGGATGAGAACGTTAATGCAATACCCATCGGGGATGTACCCGTTGCCATCCTTACTCGTGTCACGTACTTTCCTCCCTGTGCGTGTGCGGCTAAGCTCACGTTCTCAGCGAGAGTTTGGTGTTTGGAGTATGGATTAACTACCGTAGATTAATATAATTGGCTACCGTAGAGTAATAAGAGCAAACCATAATGTTGTCATAAACCAGTCCATACTCCATAGCCATTAAAATACTCACTTCAGGTTAGCTGAAATATCGTAGGAGTGGTCTTTATAGCAGTCCATAGCAAAAGGTGCTAAGATTAATATAAGTACGTGCGGGACATAATTGCATGCACAGTTGAACAAAAAAAAAAAGGAAAAAAATGAAGAACTAAAATCTTAGCACCACGCTCGAGAGTCAATAGTCTAGAATGCTGGGAGTTATCCAACGACATCACCATCCTCTCCTCCCGTCCCCGCCATGGCCACCGTCCGTTCCACCCTCTCTCCCAGTCTCCCACCGCCATCTCCATCTTCACCTCCCGCCCACACCCCCGTCGCCTCCTATCCCCGCCACCGCAAGCCCCTTACCACGCCCGCAGCCGGGCAGGCGGCTCTCCAGCCCTCCGAAGCGGCGGCGCTCCTCACGGCCGCGGCGCGCGCCCGCGACCTCCGCCTGGGCCGCGCTCTCCACGCCCGCCTCCTCCGCACCGGGTCACTCCTCGAGGCCGACGCCGTCGTCGCCAACTCGCTCCTCCGCTCTACTCCAAGTGCGGCGCCGTGGCCGCCGCGCGCAGCGTGTTCGACGGAATGCCCGTCGGCCTGCGGGACCTCGTCATCCTGGACGGCCATGGCGTCCTACCTCTCGCGAAACGGCGCGGAGGCGGAGGCGCTCCGCCTGTTCGGCGAGACGCTCGAGGAGGGTCTCCTGCCGAACGCGTTCACGCTGTGCGCCGCGGCCCAGGCCTGCTTCGTCACCGAGCTCTTCCGCTCGGCTGGTGGCGCGGTTCTTGGTTTGGTGTTCGAGTTGGGTTTCTGGGGCACTGACGTCTCGGTGGGTTGCGCTCTGATTGACATGTTCGCGAAGAATGGGGATTTGGTGGCGGCGCGCAGGGTGTTTGATGGATTGTTCGAGAGGACGGTTGTCGTCTGGACATTGCTGATTACACGGTATGCGCAAAGTGGCTATTCTGACGAGGCTTCAGAATTGTTTCTTGACATGTTGGAAATGGATTTCAGCCGGATCAGTACACCATGAGCAGTATGTTATCGGCTTGTGCAGAGTTGGGATCATTCAGGTTGGGGCAGCAACTGCACTCTCTAGCGCTCAGGCTTGGACTGGAATCAGACAGTTGCGTGAGCTGTGGGCTTGTGGACATGTATGCAAAGTCTCACAATGGACAGTCCTTGCACAATGCGAGGAAAGTCTTCAATCGGATGCCAAAGCATAATGTGATGTCATGGACAGCACTTTTGTCAGGGTATGTGCATCGTGGATCGCAGGACAACCAGGTGATGGTACTGTTTTGCGAGATGTTAAATGAAGGCATCAGACCAAACCATATCACATATTCTAGTATGCTTAAGGCGTGTGCTAACCTTGGTGATCATTGATCAAGATTCAGGCAGGCAAATTCATACCCACTGCGTCAAATCCAGCCTAGCTGACTTAAACGTTGTTGGGAATGCTCTAGTAAGCATGTATGCTGAATCTGGTTCCATGGGGGAAGCTAGACATTCGTTTGACCAGCTGTATGAAAAGAACATGGTACCCTTCAGCTGCAATTTAGACGGAGTTGGGAGGAGCAACACTTATCAAGATTATCAGATTGAAAGAATGGAGTTAGGAAACAACACTTTCACATTTGCTAGTCTGATCAGTGCCGCCGCTAGTGTAGGGTTGCTAACCAGAGGCCAACAGCTGCATGCCCTCTCACTGAAGGCTGGATTTGTGTCAGATAGAGCCATAGGCAACTCTCTTGTGTCTATGTATTCTAGATGTGGATACCTAGTAGATGCTTGCCAAGCCTTTGATGAAATGAATGACCATAATGTGATCTCATGGACTTCAATGATTAGTGGTTTGGCGAAACATGGGTATGCAGCGAGAGCTCTGGAATTGTTTCATGATATGATCGCAGCTGGGGTGAAACCAAATGATGTCACATACATTGCTGTTTTATCTGCATGTAGTCATGCCGGTCTAGTTAAAGAAGGGAAGGAACGCTTTAGAATGATGCAGAAGGATCATGGACTCATACCAAGGACGGAGCATTATGCTTGCATGGTTGATCTGCTTGGGCGATCAGGCCTTGTTGAAGAAGCACTATATTTCATCAACGAAATGCCTTGTCAAGCAGACGCATTGGTCTGGAAGACACTCCTTGGTGCCTGTAAGACCCACAACAACATGGATATCGGTGCGATTGCTGCTAACCACGTCATACAGCTCGAACCACAAGATCCAGCCCCCTATGTCTTGCTCTCCAACTTGTATGCAGATGCTGTTTTGTGGGATCAAGTAGCTGGGATAAGGAGTCTAATGAGGGATAAAAATCTGATGAAAGAAAAAGGGTTGAGCTGGATGCATGTTGAGAACACCATTCACGAGTTTCGAGCTGCTGATACCAACCATCCACAAGTAGAGGAGATCTATACGAAGTTGGATACACTGATAAGAGAAATCAAAGTCATGGGCTATGTACCAGACACCAGCATAGTGCTCCATGACATGTCGGATGAGCTTAAGGAGCTGTCTGCTTCAGCACAGCGAGAAGATTGCTGTTGCATTCGGTTTGATCAGTTGTACATCAGCAACAAAGCCAATAAGGATCTTTAAGAACCTCCGTGTATGCGCTGATTGTCATTCAGCACTCAAGTATGTCTCAGGCTACTGGTAGGGCGATAATATTGAGAGATAGCAACAGATTCCACAGGATGAAGGATGGGGAATGCTCATGCAGAGAATACTGGTAACAAGCAAGCTGGCTCACGTAGTCACGTTTAGCTGAAGAGCCATGTACAGAGTTCTGGCGCACCATACCATTATTGGCAGTGAGCGGCCATGTTCATAATTTCTGTAGCACCTTAACAAAATCATAGTTTATACAAAGCATGAGTTGTTGTGATAGTTTATACTACGGTTATAGAATTTGTACAGTTATATGCACCCTCCTATCACCATAAATACAAATTGTTTTGGCTTTACCATCAGTTTGGTTGACTGGCATCGCAAGATGAATGCAGAATTTTCAGAACCTAATTGCCGACTGCAGGTGATGAAAACAATTTTCATGTAAATTTCATTGCAAATCAAGATAAACATGTCCAAAATAGGCAAGATAAACTCATATCTGCATGCTATTTAATATCATTTTATGGATAAATCAACATATAACTGCTTGCATATGTGAGTTTAAGCATACAGTACAGCCATGAAAGCTTGTAAATCATTACACGATTATAAACCATAACAAGCTTGTTGAGTAAGGTAATTCTTTCATTGAACTTTGATTAAAAAAAGGCATGATCAACTGATGAGAGCCCAATGCAAATGGCAAAATTAATTGATTGACCATCTGTTTTGGCATATTTGCAGCAGGACAGACCAAGACCCACCTTTTCTAACCATATGATTGACTGTTTGTTTGTGCTAATTCTAGTTGTACTCCCTTTGTTCCAAATTATAGTTCACTTCGGTTTCCTAAGTCAAACTTGTTTATGTTTGACCAAGTTTAAAGAAAAATGTACCAACATCTAGAACATCAAATTAGTTTCTTTAGATTCTTCATGAAATACATTTGGATAGAGCATTATTTGAATGCATATATGTTAATATATTTTCAAAACATTTGGTCAAAGATAGAAAAGTTTGACTTAGGACAAAACCAAAGTGAACTATAAGTTGGAACTAACATGTTTGATGCTTCATTTTCAAAAGTTTGTCATATTAAGAATAACTCAAGGAAGATTATGATATGCTGGCAGCAAATGCATAAGAAATTAAGATCCAAAATTATCATTTGGGCCTTCGCAGTTCTGGTGGAAGCCACACACCAAGCATTAACGAATTTGGATTAGCAAGGCTTTGCAGCTCCATAAATTCCTCCTTGCTGTATTTTATCCTTTCATCTGTTCAAACGAAAGGCAAACTGGTTATCAATATATTGTAAAATGCAAAGCTTCAACTAGGACTGTATTTCTAACAGGAAGTGAAGGGACACGACAGAATATCTTGCATCCTCACCTACAAAACAGATATCGTGTAGCCTACTTGGGCCAGTAAAACTGTTTCCAACTTCTGCTTTCACATGTGGTGATCGTCTACGTCTAGGTTTACGAAGTTGGGAACCACCAAGATTTGCCTGAACTTCCTGCATGAGCTCATGCCTCAATTCAATCGTAGGATGACGCTTACAGAATGTTGAAATAGCATCGCCTGTTAAGATCCAACAGCCACTTAAATCCAACACACAGAGTGTGGCAGGGGGTACAAATTGTAAAAGCCCCGAGCTCGACAATATATTCCCGCAGAACCCAAGGTGGATCAAATTGGAGGCAGCAGAGAGCGCATGCAAGGCAGGATCAGACAAGAAATCACTTTTCAGGTACAAATATTTCAGTGCTGCAAAGGATGCCAAGGGAGGTATAACTTCAGCTGATAGCGGTGTATCCTCCAAATTTAGGCTTTCCAGATATTTGAGATGCTCAAATGCAGACATAGACAACAACTTCTCCGAATTTACTTCAGTGTGAACAAAACCTGCCATAAGATAAAATTTATTTTTCTGCGGCAGAAAGTAAATTGATGTAATCAAGGAAACAAAATATTTAGTAAGCAAGAGCACAACCTTTGATACTTGTCTGGCTTAAATCTATCGTTCGCAGCAACGGTATCATGCCAATATATGCTAGAGCAGAGTCATCAATTTTTGTATTAGCTAAAGACAGTGAGGTGAGGTTTGGAACTGTCCCTGCCAGAATACATAGTGCCTGTGAAGTTATTCCAGTATTCTTGAGGCTCAAATATTGCAAGTTTGTTCCAAGCTTCGCAATATGTTCAATTGCACCATCAGTTATTATGTTGTAGCTACGGTCCAGATGCTCTAGATTTTTCATCTTTTCCAAGAAAGACAAGCTGCTTAACTTGCAGCTAGACAAGTCCAAATGTGTCAGTGAGCTTGCTTGGATGCTAGAAAATACTTTATCAATATTGCCAAATGTAGCTGCAGAGACAATAAAGTTTTCTAGAGGAACAGGAACTTCAGAATCCTCAGCACAAATAGAATGAATTTCGCAGTTGCTCATATTTAGACAGCGTGTGGTTGGAGGAATTGATAAATGGTTGACACGTGTCAACGCAAGATTCAAGAATATCAGCCTTGCATAGGATTTCAGAGCAGAAGCTCCCTCATTTGTAGTTTCACTACCCCATATATCAAGATGCTCAAGTCTTGTCAATACCTAGAACAATAATACAACTATAAGAAATCTCTGGTACATGCAACCAAAAAGAAATCAGTTGGCACATATTAGTAGATTGAATGTATGGTTGGCAATTCCAACACAGGCACCTAGATAGCAAAAGAAAACGGTGGAACACCATAAGACTTCATACCTGTAAAGACTGTAGGCTTTTGTCTGTCATGAGAATTCCACCCAGATCAAGGAAACTTAGATTTGTCAGTGAAGAAATGAGCATCACTCCATTGTCCATCAATTCAGTCTCAGATAAGTGCAGCTTCTCCAAGCTTTCAATGGTCACTATATGTTTGATGCCAGCATCAGAGATCTTTTTGCACCTTGACAAGTCCAGCTCCTTTAATGTGTTCATTCCTAAAATAACAAGGAAATTATATTGCAAATAATAGAACTCAAAAGCAGGGGCGAAGCAAGGCTATTTTGATGATGTCACTTGACAGCAATGGATTTTAAAAATCCACTCGCATTGCACAGGCGAGGGTAAGGCTTGCCACTGACACCCTTCCCCAGACCCGAACAGAGCGGGAGCTCTCTGCACTGGGTACGCCCAAGGCTAAAGTGTTGATCTAAGAGAAACATGACCAGCAATCGTTCTTTTGAACACTAGTGACATGACATCGATGGTTCTGTATTCTGGATCCACCCATGCCCACAGTGTAATCATATGATCAAAGAAGTTTCAGCATCTCACCAGAGAGTGACCAGACAGCGTCATTGTCGACGTTCTTGCAGTCCGCCAACTTCAGGACCCTCAGGTACCGGAAGGAGCCGAGGTACGCCAGCCACTCAGAATCCACGGATAGAAATCCACTCAGGTCAACCTCCTCCACCGACCGGCCAAACATCCTACACACGATGGGAGACATGATTCAGCCACGAACCAACATGAGGAACAATAGCAAACCCAATAAGAAGGTACAGGACATTTTTTTAACAGGTATATAGTATTCATATAAATGAGTAAGAAGGTTGTTCAACAGGGAATGCTACATTAGTAGCGCCATTTGCCATACAAGGTCACGGCCCCATCACACAAACGCTAATCCACATTGCCTGGTATATCCATTGAGCTACATGGTGCTACAAGATGCAATTTGGGTTGGGGAGTTCGGGCGACAGAAGCTTAGTTGGTAGGGCTGGAGCCATAAACAACAGTGGAAAGAATCACTCCCCTCGAATTGGTGGAGTTTCTACCCTCTGTACATGCCGGAAGGGTTGGCTTTCTAGACAATCCATCGGTGCTCAAGAACCTTGTGGTGGGGAAGCTGCATCTAAGAAATCAAGTCCTCTGTGGCAGGTGAAACGGAAGGTTCCAATTACTATCCTTCTGTATGTTTCTGAGTGCTCCTTACCTTCAAAAGGTGGGACCGCATAAAGGAATTCATAACACAAAATACCCAGGTTCCATATGTCAACATGGTGATCATGTACTCACATAATCCGTCTTCTGTTGAAGGTGCGCACAGACCAGCCAAAGTCGGGCAATTTTGAGTTGACCCAAGGCTCCAACCAAAGATTTTTCTGGTTTGATGTCCTGATGGATAACATGCTTCCCATGAAGGTAGATCGGAGCTCTAGCCAATGATGCAATAAAAGTTGCTGAACGCCTCTCCCATAAATGCTTGCATCTTGTCAACTCCTTGTACACCCTTGGCAGCATATTCCAGGATTAGGTAAACCCGGGTCTGGTCATAGAAGTACCCATACAGGCGAAGAACATTGGGAGCAGATGCTCGACCTGAGATTGTTTGAGCTGGCTCTTGAAAAGAACTTTCAAAGCCACAATCTGACTACTACTCTTTTCTCTAGCTAGATAAGCATGGCTAAAATTGGCCCTCCCAAGAGGTTCCCAACCTCGAAATCAGACAGTACCCATCGCTTCTCGTTCGCATGGAAAACCTTGTCCTCGCTGCCGCGCGACTCTGTGGCGATCGCCATGGCTGGAAGAGCGGCGCGGAGGGGAAGGAGGCATGGGTAGAGATGGGGGACCGGGAGCGGCGAGGCGAGGCGAAAAATGGCAAAAAGCCATAAACTCCCCTATCCGGGCGTCGAGCATCTTGACTAGGCAGCGCGAGGACGAGTTTAAAAAACGGTGCAGGGAGCTTACTCGAGGAGGGAGGGGAAGAGGAGGCGACGCGCGGCGAGGCGGCGGAACAGCGCGTCGGCGAGCGGGACCGGGAGGCGCTCCAGGGAGCGGCGCTGCCGGCGCCAGGCCTCCACAGTGGCGGGGCCGCGCGCTGCCGCGTCGATGCAGCGGTCCACGAGCCGGGCCCCGCCGCCGGTGGCGGAGCCGGAGGCGGCGGCCGCCATGGACGTTGTTGGAACGGGAGATTGAGTCGTGAGCGTGACCGGAGGATTGGGAGGAAGGAGGAAATGAGGTCCCAGGAAATGATGGGATGCGATGCGATCCAAAATCGTAAAAGTCGTCGGCGGAGAAAATAGAGACTTTGCCATCAGGAGCCGTATGGCCCGTATGGCACGTTTGGTTGCCGGGCGAACAGTCGTTTGTTTGATCTCACGCGGAAATAATGCTAGAAGAAACACAGCAAAAATAGTAATTTTGATTCGCATTTCAAATATAACATTCGATAACTCGCAAGGGCAAGAGGATGAACACTTACTCCATCAGTCCATCTCTCAAAGTCCTCGCCAACCTAACAAAATACGACACACTGGTACTCTTCGTCTTGGGAGGAAGAGGATAAGCACTCGCGCATAATTTTACTACGGTCTACGGTCTCTTCACTCCATCCTCAGCAACCTAACCAAATTACGGTGCAGCTAAACAAACTCACCAAACTCCAATCCTAGCTTGCTACTAGTACTAGCACATTGCCACAGTCACTTGGTGACTTCAGAGTAGCTTGTAGCCGGTGACCCAGACGTTGGCCGGCGTCCCGTGCTGAACGTACACGAACCTGAGGCTCTTGCCAGCGCGCAACGCCGGCAGCCACTTGGGCGGCACGTACCCGTACCGCGCCTTGTCGAGACCCCAGAGCCGGCCACGGAGCTCCGAGACGCCAAGGTGGAGCTCCCGGACGGTCTTCCTCGACCTGTTGGTCACCGTCACCGAGTAGTGGTAGTACGTCGTGCGGCGCCTCGCCCACGTCCTCGTCACGTTCTGCTCGATCTCGATCGGGGACGACGACGGCAGCGCGTGATGACGGGGACGACGGCGAGACGGCAGCGGCGACGACGTCGTCTGGTTCGCGGCGGCCTCTGGCGGCGGCAGCTGGTACTCTTCGAGCCCGGTGCCACAGGCGCCGGCGAGGCGGGCGAGGACGCCGAGCAGCGGCGCGCTGTTGTAGGTGGCGGCCTCCGTCTGCTCGTAGTTGTTCCGCTCGTCGGCGAAGTCGTCGTACTCGTCGGGCCCGCCGACGATGGCGCCCTCCAGGACGTTGGGGTTGCCGGCCTGCCGCGGGTACCAGGCGGAGTACCCCTCCTGGCAGCTGACGAAGGACGGGTCCGTCCTGACGGACACGATGGAGGCGCCGCGGTGGTGCACCTGCCGCGGGAAGCTGCCGCCGTACCCGACCATGTAGCTGGTGCCCCGCGGGTTGTCGCCCAGGATGTAGTTCACCTGGGACCTGACGAAGGCGAGGATCTCGAAGGGCCGCGCGGCGCCCGCGGGGCACCGCACGGCGCCGCCGGAGCCGGGCAGCGCCGTGGCGTAGTCCGCGTACACCGTCAGCAGGAACGACGCGCTGGTGACGAACTGGAGGTTGTTCCAGCGCTGGTGGTACATGACGCCGCCCGGGGTCCGCGGCACGTTCACGGCGCTCTTGCCGACGCAGGAGCACACGAAGAACTCGGCGTTCTGCCGGTACCGCTGCAGCGCCGCGGCGTGCGCGCCGGCACGGCCCTGCAGGAGGAACTTGGCTGCCAGCACCTGCACGCCGGGGTACTTGACGTCCCAGCCGAACTGGTTGATGGACCAGCCCGTGCCGCCCAGAGCGTCGCCGTTGCGGGCCAGGTACTCGAGGTAGCACCCTTCCTCGGTCGCCTCGTACAGCCACGCCGCCGCCCACAGAAGCTCGTCCTGGACCACGGGAACCAGGTTGTCAGGTACTACGACATTGAATTGAAGTTGAAGGCCATTGTGCGTGTTTGCAGCTGAGCTGACTTACCCCGTATCCGCTGAAGGATCCGTAGTAGTTGCGAGCGACGGTGATGCTGGCGTCGTACTTGCCGCGGTACTTGTCGGCGAACTGGAACAGCTGGAAACGACGACATAGGACACATTGCAAATCAGAATCGAGAGGTGCAATGTTATGTCATGATTTCTGCTCAATTGGGCTGGGCACTTGGGAGGAGCTGTCCTAGTAAATTATAATGGAAAATACCTGTTTGGCATGTTCAAGGAGCAGGTTGGCGTAGCCCGGGTAGGTGTTGCGGAACACGAGGGAGGCGGCGGCCATGGCCGCGGCGGTCTCTCCGGCGAGGTCGGACCCGGGGTTCTGGGGGTCAATGCGGAACGCCTGGCGGCTGGTCGACATGTCCTCAGGCCGCTGCCAGCAGCTGTGGTCCGTGTCGCCGTCGCCCACCTCGCCGTACAGCACCTCGGGCTCCGGGTGGGCCTTGATGAAGTAGTCGGTGCCCCACTTGACGGCGTCCATGGCGTTGCGCAGCTCCCCGCCCGCCGCCATCTGCCTGCCGTACTCCAGGATGCCCCACGACATCATGGTCACCGTGAACGCCATCGGCAGGCCGAACTTCACGTTGTCCCCTGCGTCATAATACCCTCCGACGAGGTCCACCTGGCCGGCGAGACAAAAACAGAGAGAGAAAAAAATCTTGTTCAGCACAGCAACGCGCCCTGCCTGCCATGGTCACAAACTCACAATGCTAGCTAGCAACAGCATTGAACTTTGATGAATAATGACTAGTGCTACGAAGCGCATTGTTCGTACTCCGTTGGCCTTTCCGTCGAAGAGACCCGAGTTCCCTCTCCAGGTGACCCTCTGGTTGGGCGGGAGCACGCCGGACCGCTGCGCCTCGAAGTAGAGGATGGTCTTCTTCAATGCCGCGGCGTAGTCATGGCCGCCGGCCCCGGAAGCCGTCCTCACCACCGATGCAAGTGCCAAGAGGCCAAGTAGCGCAATCACGTTCATGGCCATGGCAATGCACCAGTGAGTGAGTCGAGCTGTATGTACTGTACCAGAGTGAGTGTGCAGGGTGTCTCTGGTTGGCTTTGGACTTTGGAGGGAGCTCAAAGCAGAGGTATTTATAAAATTGGATTTGGAGGGAACAAGGGACATGGATAGAGATTCAAAGCTGGGCTTGACTACTTGTGTACCAGACTGCAGCTCGATCGATCACCTTTCGGACTTTAGCTCGATCGATTCTTGTATGCTCATGATGCGGCAAATTTCTTCTTTTTTTGTTCCCTTTTCTCTTTGTTGCATGCATTTCCTGTGTACATTCAGTTTTCAAAAAAAAAAAAAAAATCCTGTATACATTTTTCGGTCACCAAAATGGATAGGCATCCACAGTTTGCATTTCAATAAGTAAATAAAGAAAATTAAAAGAACAGATGTTATGCTCCTTTGTTGCAATCAGATACAATGGTCTTGTTGATTCTAGCACACGAGATTTCGGCTATGTTTGGTTGAGCTTCTATAAAGTGCTATTGCTGCTAAAAAGCATAATATCAACCAAAATGGTAGAATCTGAAGTTGTTTTCTTAGAAGAGCGGTTGTTTGCACAAAGTATAATTTTTGTAACACTTTGAACCCTACTTTTTGGCTTTTACCTTTTCCAAATGAATGAAAATAGAGAGATGTTTTTATGATTGTTTCAAAGAAAATAAATAGAAAGGTAGGTTTTATAGTTGTTTCAACCAAATAGTTTATAACTTTTACATAACACATATCTCACTGTAGCTTTCCCCGGCTTATAGCTCACAACAGTTTTTTTTTAACTCACAGTTCAACCAACCAGACCCTTCATCTCTTGTGATAAAAAAACATTCAGTATGGTCAATAAGTAAGGCATTTGCCACATTTTGTGTTCACTAACACCAGAATCGGGAAGTTGGGTATGGCTGTATAGAAAATCTCCCCTGCGCGAAGTCAAAGGATGCTGCAAATCACTAGGACGAATTTTGGCTCGGGAGCTAAACAAATCCGACTGAACTTAACAAACTGTTGATAAAACAAACCTGCCCATGCATGCTTTCACACACGTATTCAAGCATTTACACTATGAGCGGCCGGCAAGAGACTGACAGTGTGCAGTGATAAATACTAGTACGTACTAGTTTTTCATCCTCATTTTTTCTTTGCGAGATCTAGTTACAGACAATAGCGTCGCTCACATACACGAGCGCACAATCATCCTTATGAAATTTACATTTGAAAGGAAAAGGAGCCACCAATTTACTTTGCATGTGTTCTTGTCTGAGAGAGGTTTAGAACATTTAATGACATACTACATGCTTGAGCAACAAGCGATTCTAGTGTAAAAGAAGATTATATGAGCCGAAAAAGAGAAGGAACGCGAAAAAAGCAGGAGCTTCGGTTGCAATTTTCGTGAGTATCTAATAAAGCTAAAAAAGAGAGAATATGGAGTACAACGAACTTCATTTGATAAACCATATGCATTCACGAGCTAACGAAGCAGTTATCTTCAAAACAAATGGCACTATGGCAGCACATTTAATTTCAGCCATTCCCTATGAGGATCATGTATGATTGCTACTCGGCCCGTTCCAAACTAGTACGTGATGTCACCTTAGCTTATTTCTAAGTTATAAACTTCTCTAATTTTGCAGAGCTTTTTAGCATCTGTGAGTTTAAATAAATTTACTATTAAGATGTAATTTATGGATAGTTTAGTGAAACTAATTTAATGATGTGGATATTAGTGTGTTTTTTTTATAAACTTAGGGCCTGTATAGATTTTGTGGTATAAAGTTTAGTTGGCCAAAGTTGAGGACTAAAAGTTTAAACCACTTTAGCTTTTACCGTCTACAGTTTTGCATGGTTAGTTAAACTTAAGACGGGACTTTAGACTTTTTGTTTGGAGCCTCTAGAACTATGATCTAAGTTTAGTGGCTGAACTTTAGAACATTGAATCCTACAGGACCTTAATTTGTGATGCTAAAAGTTTGACACCGAGCAGTACCGACGTTAATTTTACCGACGTTAATGAGCTATCGCAAGGAAAATTAGTTGACTGCACTCAGGTGGTCAGTGGTTACTTATATACACATCATTAAAGTTCATTTTACCTCTAAAGGGTAATGAGCTATCGCAAGGAAAATTAATAACTTGAAGCTTTGAATGAAAAAAAATCATCCGGAATGCTTGGCGCCATTCAAGGTGGCAATCGGCAAACGCGCGCGGGGTGGGCAGCCGAATTATCACGCACACCAGCACATGCACACACGAGTCCACAGACACGCTGCCGCGGGCCGGAATATTTTTTCTGCTCTTTTTCGCGTCGTTTGATGCATGCGCGCGCGCCGGGCTGTGTGTTTTTGTTTGAGCCTTTTGACTTCGGTTGGGGGCCGCCGGCCTCAGTTAATCAAGCCATGATTTGTGTAGCGAGTAGCTTGCAGCAGTGCCGGCCTCCGCCTGTCTGCGGCAGGGGTCCCGGCCTCCCGGGGACATCAAGTCCAAGCGCCCCACAACTTTTTTTTTTTCGGTGCACACACTCCGTGTCATGCGGCAGAAATAATGTATTGGGGATAGCACAGATAGGTCCCCACGAGAATAGCTAGTGCTGTGGACTATGGAGACACGAAGTGGGAACACACAATACGTGTGTGTGTGTGTAAACTGGGTTTCCCTTTTGGGGTTCATGCTCTAATGGAGGCTGATTTGTACTACTCCTACAAGTGGATTGCTCCCCTTGCATTTCACACAGCTGCAACATGCATGTCAAGTGTGGTTCATGAATCATGAGCAAGATTCATTAGATAGTGGATGCATAAACTATTATTAAGATATGAAAACAAACATTACAGAGAAGAGAAGATATAAAATCTCCACCAAATTAACCAACATAAGAAATCGTCAAACTTACCATTCGTAAAGAGTTGTAAATATTTATAATGTCTCAATACATGTACAAAATCCTCACAGGAAAATAAACAAAAATACTATGGTGGTACACTACTACAAAATCAAATAATCGGTTGTTGGGAGATTGTTACTTAGATTAACAAAGGTGGGCACAAAGGGGCGCCACCTTTGTTAACGGGGAGGGGCGCCCAAGGGAAAGGCTCGTCTTCAATGTAACACAATAGAGATGACCTCCTTATAATGCCCGTTGTTAATGAGTAGCTTATATAAAGACCTCACCCACTTCTCTTTCTTCCTCCATGAGCTCGACCACCTGTAGAAGTCCTTGTGCGTGGTGAACCGCTTCTCAAGCAAAGTTCATTTCTGGGGGGGGGGTTTTGATTTTTTTAGGACAGATGCCCATCGAAAGTTAATATGTGCCCCATATGTTTCTTTTTGTGCCTTTTTTCAAGTTTTTCATGTTTTTTTGCTAGTTTATGGCGGACTAGATCTAGTGCTAAGCTGTGGGAGGAGAGAGAAAGAGTATATGTGTGTGTGTGAGAGGCGAAAATAAATAAATATGCCATGGTACCTAGTGTGTACATAAATAGTGGAAAGAGAACAAAAAAAGAAAATATTTTCAATAATTAGTTATTGATTCTTCAATTCCCTATTTTTTGACATGCATATATTATTTTTACTCCTATATATATTTAGAGTAAAATTCATCATGGTCCTTGAAAGGATCATGATGTCCAAGAGAGGGGGTGAATTGGGTTAATTCTAAAATTCTTTGCAATAATTAAACCCTACACTTAGCCCACTTCACCCCTTGTGCCTAGAATGTGTTTCTATTGTTCTACCACACAAAAGTTTTAAACCCTAGGTTCCAATCCTACTCTAGCATGGCAATTCTAAGAATGTAAAGACAAGAAATGAATTGCTCAAATGTAAATGCTTAAAGTAAAGAGAGAGAAAGGAACGTGGCGATGTTTTGCTGAGGTATCGAAGAGTCGCCACTCCCCACTAGTCCTAGTTGGAGCACCCTCGCAAGGGTGTAGCTCCCCCTTGATCCGCGCAAGGATCAAGTGCTCTCTACGGGCTGATTCTTCGACACTCCGTCGCGGTGAATCGCCCACAACCGCTCACAACTTGAGTTGGGTCATCCACAAGCTCCGTCGGATGATCACCAAACTCTCAACCACCACGAAGCCGTCTAGATGATGGCGATCACCAAGAGTAACCAGCACAAACTCTCACTTGACCACGACAAGCCTAATGAGAAGGGTGGATGCACACTTGCTACTCTCCTTGCACTAATGAGGTCTTAATCTTGGATTCTCAAATCTCAATCACCTCACTAGGCTCTTGCTCTCCTTTGCACTCTTAAGGGTGTTTCTCAACTGAACAAATGGGCAAGAGGCCTCCTTTGGACGAGTGGAGTAAGTATTTATACCCCCTCATTCAAAACATAACGTTTGGAGGCCGAGTCATCACTCTATGGGGTGACCGGACGCTCTGGTCCGTTCTCCCCGCCACTGTGTCAGAAAGAGCCGTTAAGTTCTGATCGGACTCTGACCCGCGTCCGGTCATCACTAACCAGACGTGTTCGGTCACAAAAACTGCTCTCTGGAACCTTACTGATGTTGACCGGATGCTGACACTTAGAGTCCGGTCACTTCGCTGTTCAGCATCTGGTCAGTTACTGGATCCTGACCAGCGTCCGGTCAGCACTAACCGGACGCGTTCGATCAGGAATCTCCATCTCTGGAACCTCTCTGGAGTTGACTGGACTCTGGCACCCAACGTCCGGTCACTTTTCACTCAGCGTCCGGTCGCAACCAGACGGCTCCAGTTGATCAAATGAACTGACCGGACTCACCCTTCAGCGTCCGATCATAACCAGACCAGCGTCCGGTCAGTCATTTGACCCTCCATTCACTTTCAACTCAAAATCATATGTGAATGAAGTTTGCTCCAATTGATCTTAGGGCTACTCCGGAGCTACCTAGTGCTAGATTTGACAAGTGCGCACCACACCTAACTCACTAGACTCACCTAGGTCAAGCTACTAGTCCATACCCCCCTTAATAGTATGGCCAAAGGAAAGA